TCCCTTTCATATATTTCTGTTTTTATTTCTTCTAATCACTGCACTGTTGCACCCTTATAAACATGTGCCAGACTTCTCTAAGGCTCATGTCCATACGTACAGGTGCAGGACCATGTGATATGCAAATGCTCACTATTAATAAACATTGCCATCCTGCTTGCCTAAGGTCTTTACCAGTTTATATTCTTGAAAGTTCTTGCTTTTCCATACTCTTGCAGCACTTGCTGTATGCAGATGTCTCACAGCCACTGTGAGGAGCGTAACTACTGTGTCAGTGTGAGTCCCGCTTGCATTTCCTAATCTAAGAGAAGATAAGCATATTTTCCTATGATGGCCGGCTATGGGTTTCTTCTGGGGTTGTCCTTTCATAGCTTTTGCTCACTTTTCCAGGGGCTTATTTATCTTTTCAATTTGTAGCATTGCAAATATTTTTCATATGTTAGCTAACTGTTTATATGGTTACATGCATTGCAAATATTTTATCTCCGTGTTTCTGTTCTTAATTCCAGTCTTTTCTTTATGAATGGTACAGTGTAAGGTGTCTTGAAATTTTATTACTTATGCACACAGGTTCTTGTGTCAAGACCGCCCAGGTTGAAATCCTGACTCATTGTTTTAGAGTCATGTGGACTTGTATAAACTTACTTAAATGTTCTGTGCCTCGATTTCTTCCTCTTTACAAAATGGACATAACACCAGCACGGACAGTTGTGAGGATTCAATGAATCAATACATGTAAAGCACCAAGAACAACTCCCAACAAATACAAGGTATCAGTGTAACCATCACTCAGTTATCTCAGCTATCCTTGATCCTTTAACACTTTTAAATGACTTCTAACATCAATTTATCATATGCCATAAAAATTCTGTTGAGATTTTTGTAAATGACATTAACATTTTACAAATTGTACCTTAAATTATAAAGGCAAAACTGTACCTTTACAATGGAGCGCCCCAATAGCTCCCTCCTTAAACAAACAAGCATTGTCAACAGGGGGACAGCCTAACTAACACAGGCCTCTTACTGTAATGCAGTAAGCATATACCTGTAAAATATTCCTCATAAAAATATTTAACCCAAATTTAACTGCGTATGCAAAGCTAATTCCACTTTACAGGAAATATAGGGAATAGGGATAAGTCAAACTACACAAGAAACAAACCCAAAACGTGGGATGTTCTGTAAGACAATGGCCTGGTCCCTTAAAAAGTCAATGTCGGGGGAGAAAAGCACCAGGCTATTAGATGTGAAGCAAGACTGAAGAGCTAGGCCAGCCAGATGTACACTTTGCACTGGATTCTCATTGCGGGGAGGATGCAAGAAACTGCAGGTATAATGGGTGATCTGGGTATTAGATCATGTTAAGACATTACTGTTTAATTTTCCTAGGCACAGTAATGGTATTGCGCCTATATATGAGAATGTCATTTGCAGGAGATATACACTCTAGCAGTTGATGTCTACAACTTAATTTCAAATAATACAGCAAAAACAAAAAGTACAGAGGAAAAACATACCAATAAATGCCAAAATATTGATAATTTTGAATCTAAGCGATCAATATATAGCATTCATTTTAGTATTCTCCCAAATAAAAACTTACAAAACACACCCTGCACTAAGTAGTAATGTTCCATCTATATGTGATCTACAAACTATGGAGCTTTCCATTTAGATTTTTCATGCCCTCAACAGTAGTAATTTCTTCTGCCAAGGACTTTTAAATATGAACTCTGAGATACTTTCTCATTGTGTTGCTTGCATAAATGTTATCTTTTTTAAACTGCCTTTTGCATACTGATCAAGTAAATCACCTTAATATTTCGATGATCTGTTACAATGCCTGCTCTACTTCACAAAAGAACTACACAGAACAACTCAAACCAAAAACCAAACCTTATACAGCTCCCTCATAAAACAGCCCTTTTCTTAAGACTTGACTGTTGTGGAGTAGTCTAAGGTTTACAGTAAAGCTGAAAGAAAGGTACAGAGATATTCCACATACCCGCAGTCCTGCACATGCACGGTCTCTCTCATTACCACATTCCCCCACCAGAGTGGTATTTTTTGGGGTTTTTTTGTTTTGTTTACCACTGATAAACCTACAAGTACATTAACACATCTTTACCACCCGAAGTCCATGGCTCAAACCAGGGTTCACCCTTGGTGCCGCACATTCTATGCATTTGGACAAATGGATAATAACATGTATCCACCACTGCAGTACCATACAGAGTATTTTCACTGTCCTACCTACAGTCTTCTGTGCTTCACCTATTCATTCTCCCCCTTTCCCAATTTGGAAAAAAATGTGCTATGTTTGCCATAGTTTTGTGTTTTCCAGAATGTTATATAGTTATACTCATGTAGCCTTGTTGGATGGGCTTCCTTCACTTAGTAATATGCATTTAAGGTTCCTCAGTGCCTTTTCATGCATGGTTTGATAGCTCATTTCCTTTTACCTGAAAAATACTCATGTCTGGATATACAGTACTAGTTTTTATTCACCCACTGAAGGACACTTTGACTGCATCTAAGATTTGGCAATTATTAATAAAGCTGCTATAAACATGCATATGCAGGTTTTTATATGGACATGTTTTTACACTCCTGACTAAATACCAAGGAATGTAACTGATGGATCACATACTAAGAGTTTTGTACAAAACTATCAAATTGTCTTCCAATGTGGCTATGTTATTTCGCATTTCCACCAGGAATAAACAAGAGTTCTCCTTACTCCATACCCTTGAGCACATTTGGTGTTGCCAGAGGATCCTGCACACTAAATGTTAGTTGAACCACAGCCCCACCACCTCATGCCCCTACAGCTAACAACTGAACACACACACTTTTAAGTGCCTTCTAGAGAGGGTACCAAACAGCATTAATTAAAATGAACCTAATCTATCTATGGCAACTTGCTTGGCCTGTTTCAACAGAACTAAAGGATTTCATACACTGTTCCACATATTTGAGGCAATACTGTTTATAAAGACTGGAAAAAGAACAGACTGGAAGTAAAGTGGAAATGTTCATTGAGCTGGGAAAGTATTAATAGCTATTGCCCAGCCGGCAGAAGACATGAATCAACAAATCTGTTCCAAAGAAGGCACCAACACCAAGCAATATTGAGAGCCTGAAGCCCTCCTACAAGTTCCACATTGCCCCCATTCTTCTCTGAAACTGGTTGGGCCTGGGCTACTATAATTTCTTCAAAGAATTCTGCACTTACCACTGTAGAAATCAGTCTGGAGATTCCTCAGTAAACTAGGATTAGAGGTCCCATTCAACCCAGCTATTCCCCTGCTGGGTATTTTTCCAGAAGAACTGAAAACATCATACCACAGCAAAATATGTGCACCCATGTTTATAGCAGCGCAATTTGTAATAGCTAAATCTTGGAAACAACCCAAATGCCCATCAGCTGAGGAATGGATAAAAAAGATGTGGCATTTTTATACAGTGGAGTATTACTCAGCTATAAAGAAAGATAAACTAGAGGCTTTTATAGGTAAATGGATGCAACTAGAGACCATACTCATAAGTGAAATAAATCAGATTCACATGTGTAAACATATTTCCTCCCTACTATAAGAACCTGAAAGAGTAAATAAAATCTGAAACACACAATAGGTATTGTGAAAGGGAAAAGCAACTGCTCAAATAGGAAGGAGCAACGGGGATAAGGAGGGAAGAGGAAAAAGAAAGAAGGAAGAGGAAAAATATGTATATGTATACACAGGACAGCTAGGATAACTGTACTACTAAAATCTGTTGGTTTATTGAAAGGAACTGTTAATGTGTAACTATCTGATCAATCTTGCATGCCTATGTCTGGTTATATGTGCAACCATTTTGAAGATGACATTGTGTAGTATAACAACCATTGTTAATATCCTATCACCATGTTTTGAAATTTTGTATCATTTTTATTGTTCTATGCTGTTTTGTTTATGTATTTGTTTTTGTTATTTTGGGTTTTTTTTTTTTCAAATGAAAAACAAAATTTATATGTGTATATATAAGAATAGCTGGGATAGGTGTATTGCTGATGTCTGTGGTTTATTGAAAGGAACAGTCCATGTTTAAAATTTTCTTTTTTCTTGACCAATATTGCACACTTGAATTTGGTAATCAGAATGACTGATGTGAAAACAATAATATGCAGTATAAGCACCATTGTTGAACTCCTACCATCTTGTATAGTGAAGCTCTGCATCATTTCCATTTTTTTTTTTTTATTACTTGCTACTGTCTTTGATTGTTTGATCAGTCTTATATTCTTATGTCTGGTGGACTGAGAAACTTCACTGAAGATAACAGTATGTAATGTAGCAACCATTGTTAATGCCTATCATTTTGTTTTGAGGTATGTATTGTTTTTGTTGTTTTTGTGTTGTTTTGATTTTTGTCTTCATTGTTTTTTTTAATTTTTAAAATAAAAAAAATTAAAGAAGAATCTTGAACTTTATTTCTCACCATACTATGTACATGTTAAGAAACTATACAGAATATTTCTTTTTGCATGAAATTGTAAATATACATTCTCTTTTTTAAAATAAAATCAATGCTTCCAATCCACAACTAATGGTCATTATTTTGCTCAGAAACAAAGTAATTTGTGAAACCAGTTGTGAGGTGTCTTACTTACCACCTGCTTTTATTCATTAGAACAAAACCTAAAAAGCTAAGAATTTAGAAAGTGCAAGTTTCATCAATCTTTTCAGGATTTAGTCTCAGAAAAAACTTAAGTTGTTCCTAACCCAATAAAAATAAACCAAGAAAGGCAGCACATCCAGTGTCACCTGCTGGCTTATTTTGAGCTGACACTGCTCAGTTAACGAGCATCTCAGTTTAGACTCCCCACTTCCTGCAAAGGTATCTTCCAAGTACCTCCCCATAAAAGATAAAACGAGAATAAAAGGAATACAAAGCATTTATCATCAGCAGAAAAAAATGGGAAAGGGTAGGAAACATGAAATAGTGGCACTTACTGGACAAAAATAGGTGTTCTCCACGATGTGATGGGCCACCATGCTGTTCTCAGCAGAGAGAGACATGATAAACAGCAAAGCATCCCGAGCTTGCTGGCCAACTGTCCCTTCGCGATGAATGAAGGGAATCAAGAGGGAGAAGATCAGGAAGTTGGCAGCCCCTTGGTCCTCACTAGTGTGGAAAAAGAGCTCCAGAATGGAAGGATCTTTGGCAAGGATGGAACAGAGCTGATTGAGCAGGACAACCAACTTCCCCTCCACCGCAGGAGTGGTCGTTCCCGAACAAGAGCTGAGCAGCATCATCAGAGGCTTCAGAATGGGTTTGTGATGCAGCAGAGGCTGGTGTGACTGGGTGACCAACATCTCATACATCTTGAGTTGCTCCATTTTAGTCTCATCGGTAAACTCCCGTCTCAAACTCCAGAGGAAGAGCTTCTCCATTATGTTCTCAGAGACCACAAACTCCAAAATTGGCCCCATTGCAGCATCCTTAGCTTGTTCTTCAATGAGCAAGAAGAGCATGTGTTCTACATAGTTCTGCACAGCACTGGCCTCATCTGGAGGGATGGACCCGTATTTTGCCTGGGAGTTCTTCAAGGGATCATGCTTCTCTAAGATTTTCACAACCTGTAACCAAATTAAACATTCATCATCCATCTTATTTTTATATAATCACAAAAACACACCACATCTGTCATCACCAAAAACGCAGGAGCTACTGCCCACTTCTTAATAAATATGTGAACACTCTACCTCTCTGCTTTCCTCTTTCTCATAAAACAAAAGGGTTAAACTTTAGAAAATGTTTGAAGGTGCTCATTTATAGTAGCTACAAATTTTGGTGGCCTAAGCATCAAAGAAAATAGCATGGCTAGGTGAATTAAGCTACATGAATTCTTCTACTACTACTATTAAGACTATTGAGCAACATGCCGGGCGTGGAGGCTGAGGCAGGAGGGATCACTGCAAGTTCAAGGTCAGCCTGGGCTGCAAAGTGAGCTCCAGGCCAGCCTGAACTGTACAGCAAGACCCTGTCTCAAAAAGACAAAAAAAAAAAAGAGAAAAGACTACTGAGCAACATGAAAAATTATAACTACTGTTTAAAAACAAAGTAAGCTCTTTATGTTAGATCCGTAATTATAAAACATGTCAAAAACATAGGTGAAAACAAGCAAAAATAGGCAAAAATAATAATCGCTTTTGCGTTCAAGGGAATGACAAGCTCTTAAATTTTTTTCTAAACTGTCGAAAATAGGTTGTTTTTTAAATTTTAAAATACATTCATCTAGTAAAAAGAAACCTGACTACTTGTATATTTCTCATATAAATGGAGCTGCTCTGGAGACTTCAGCAGAGGAACACAGCCACGCAGGTGCCCGTGACAACACAGTGCCGCTCCCTCCTCTGCTCTGATGGGCACCTTTCCAGCCAAGCGTGCAGCAACAGGAAGAGGGCGAGAGGAGAGGGATGCGCGAGAGGAGAGGGATGCGCGAGAGCCAAAGGCTTCACACACAGCACATACAGAAGCTCAGAAAGGAAGGACTTGGACGCTGCACGTTCTTTAGACTGAAAACATCCTGAGATAACAATTATAAAATAAATCCCTAAAGTTTGGAATGATGAAAAAGTTTGGAAATAGTAGTGATGATTATGAATGTAGTTAATGCTACTGAAATATGTATTTCAAAATAGTTAATATGATGTATTTTGTTAAATATGCTTTGCTACAAAAACAAACCGATTAACAGTAAAAAAAAAAAAAAAAAAAAAAATCCCTAAATAGGTCCTGTCACACCTGGTCTACTTCTCTCCCTTACCATTTCTAGCATTTGCATGCTTTTCTCTCCGCCCCTGAGACTTACTACTTGTACTTTAGAACCTGAACATTTAAACAATTTTATATCTCAACTTCCACTTAACTTTCTGATTTGAGATTTCTAATAATTCCTATCCAAATTACTCCCTTTAAAATGTACACATATGATCATTTTAAGTAACCAAACATTTGATTTATGACTTTATCCGTGTTCCTTTTTGCCTTTCTGAATTGCATGTGATATACACCTTTTGCATTACTCTCCTGGCCCAGTTCTGTGATGTGCTGTTATATGTCCTTTACTTATGTTACGGAATTTTTGCAAGTCACTGGGAAAGCCAGCAAATATACAGGGCTATGTCAGCATGCATGAGCAATGAGGGATATTTATTTCTCAGGGAAAGGTCTCAGTGTCTCTTCTGTCAAATGCAGAAAAAAAAATCTTTGTAGAACAGGAAAGACAGAATAAATAATTTCCATGGACTCTATAATCTCTATCAACTTCCATTATAAAACTGATAATGCTCTGTCACAAAGGAAAAAGTTGCTCCCAAACCCGAGATTTGACACTTTTTAGTAAGGAAGGCCTTTGATGGGCAGCATGCAGCAGGTGCATGGCCCAGTGACTGGAGGCGACAGCACAGCCACTAGACATCCTCTTTTTTGTCATGCAGCTGCTGCAGATGTGCCACTATCTTACATCTCTACCCCGCAGGCCTGATAACCTCACTGGCAGTAGACCTGGCTCTCTGCCCTTCCGACTGGTTCTGGCCTTGCTCATTGCATAGGATCACAGAACGACACTGGTCCAAGAGGGACCTCTATCTATCTCAACACAGCACACTCTGCTGCCCTGAAAGCTCCTAACATCAAGGATCCACATTCTGAAGCAAATGTGCAGTGTGCTTTATCAGTTCTATAATTTCGAAGTCCACACATTGAGTTTACTTATGAGAGCTACCATATATTTCCAGCTATTATACTTCTGTGTTCAGATTTGTCTAAACTCTCTAAAACTGGAATTGTGCCTTATACATTGATAGTGGCATGGTAAACTACTTCAGTCTTTCTGAAAAGCTATCTGGTAACATGTAACAGAAGTTATAAAACTGCTCCTGCCCCTTGACTTGTTAATCTGACCTTTGTGGGGAATGCCCAAGGAAACAACCCCAAAATAATGTTAGAACTTAATGATATTTTCCAATAATTAAAAATCAAAATATTAACCCAAATGGTCAAGAATAAGAAAACTATAAATGAAATATGTTACATTACTATATAATACAATTACTACTGTGTGAGTTATATCATTACAGCGAATCTATAATTGAAATAATTTAAGACAAAAAGTAAGTATATTGACAAATAGACACATGATTAGAAAAGAATCTGAAGATATGAGATTTTAACCTTAATTACTTCTCTCCTGTAAATTGCTCTAATTTTATAACATAAAGTAAACAATATAACTTTGTAGTAATGTCTTTTAAAAGGACCAAAACATTGAGTTAAAAATAATTACTGGAAATCTCCTAAAGTTCCTAAGCAATTTAAATTTATAAATATGCATACATATTTATACTACATATGAGCATGCAAGTATTATGCAACTAATGTATAACGCACAGCAAAACTTACATGATCATAAAACACATTTTTCTCATAAATTAACCTACATTTATATTATGTGTTCTAAAACATTCCTTTGTAAGCAGAATCACTTTTTTTGTTATAAGAAGTCTTCCTACTTTTGATTTTTGCAGTGCTGGGGGTGGAACAGAGCCTTATGCATCTACGTAAGCACTCTACAGCTGAGCTGTGCCCCAGTTCTGCTATCAGAAATCTTAGATTTTTATACAGAATCAAACAGCTTTTAAGCAGCAGCAGCTTAAAGCTCCTCGTCATAGTTCCTGTATCCCGCCTTTGAGGTGAATGGGCAGAGAAACATGAAAAACGGTTATAACAGTCCACAGAGATAAAAGGTGTGTTTGTCCGGGATGAACCAGACACCTCAGATTCCCCGCACTGAGTCCCAGCCCTGGCCTGGCGGTTTACTACCTGGAAGGTGGGCGTGTTACAAGCAAGGCCCGTGAGTCACAGAGCACAGGAGCGTTCAGCAAGTTCCAATCATTCTTGGTGGCCACACATCCTGACCCTCACTCCTTAGGCGTCAGGATCCTCCCAGGTTCCCTCCCCTGCCCTTCTGGTCAGGCACACCAGGACCTGCTTTTCAGGTGGGTGTGTTGCCAACTTCCTGAGACTGGCTCCTGCCCTGGCAGGAGATGACTAAGCAGCCCTCGGCTAAACAGAACTGCGCTGAGATGCCAAAGAGCTGCTGCCTAATGTCCCTACTCTGCAATCAAATGGTGTCAGGGTTCTGCAGGTTTCTGCTCACTCATTCCTGCGGTGACCTGGACTCTCTTCCTTATCTTGTGCTCTATTCTCATGTCACTTCCATAAAATTCCAAGGTTCCTCTTTCCCTGATTTCTGCACCCACTTATCAACTCTGCCTGTCCAGTCTGACAGACGCCCAGATTCCATGCTGCTCACAATGCCATCCCCAGGCCTGGTGCTTCCTCTGATTATCTACTATCTCAGACTATCTACCTGGCTTCAGATTTCCCATCCACAGCCTCTGTGGTAAGTCTCAAGGATTCAGTTCAGGGGGGAAAAGAGAATTAGGCTGGAGGGAAGTGAGAATAGTAGTAGGTGAGAGAATGAAAGCAAGCAAAATTACTGCACAGTATTTTCTTTACAAAATCAGTTCATGTTGTTAGGCTGAGAACATCATTTAATAAACTAAGCATGGTATAACAGCAAATGCCTATAATTTCAGCTACTACTGGAGAGACCAACGCAAGAGGATTGTAGGTCTGAGGAAACAACAGATCCTGTTGCAAAATGAACAAACAAACAAAAATTTTAAGAGCTAAGGCTATAGTGTTTGCCCAGCATGTGCAAGGCCCTTAGTATAACTTCCAACACAGAAAAAATAAAATAATCAATGTCTCTTAAGGTCTACACTCGTTAATTAAAAACTGGCTGAGAGAAGAAATAGAAACAAATATTATGCTGATCATAACTTGGCAGCATTTCTCAATCTATAAACTTTTTAAAACATACGCTTTTGCACATGCACAAATGTATGTGATGAGCCTAGACCATATTTATATCCACATGTAAACAATGTGAACAATGGTGTTCAAATTACCATCAGACCAGAACAGGTAAATTGAGCCTAACTTTAAAGCCACCTGACCTATAAATATGACAACTGCTGGGGCTGAATAAAATTAATAAATGGTTTATTTCTTTCACAAAAAGTATCCAATGTTGCTGTCCTTGTCCCTAATGATGGCATTACAGTCATATATTGGCCTAATTTTTTTATTGACCTAAATTTTAAACAGTCACAAATTCTAAATAGGAAGCTCAAATGCTTTCAGAATGGAAGACCTGCATTACAGAGCTGCATCTCAAGCTAAAAAATGATTATCACTCGTAATAAGTGTCTCTCAGATTTGCTTCGATTCCATCTTAATACTGCTCTCTGTCTCATACACATACTTGCATCAATAAGTAATTATTTGTATTTCTTTGGTTAGAATCTAGTTACTTCAAGAAAGTCACATGAGTAAAACCCATACTTCTAAATCCTCTGGAATGTTAATCTAGAATGTCACTGTGAGGAAAGCAAGTTACTAAGCAATATTTTCCATCACACAGAAAGCCAGGATCTAACTGTCACAGGCCAAATTCCACTTAATGTACCAAACACCTACAACAAAAGCATGTTTACATCCAGCCCTC